CTTTGGATAATCTGTGGTCAAAACAATAGTTTCGTTTGAACTTAATACGGTGCTCAAGAGGTACCAATTGTTTCAACAACACACCAACAGTTGTGTTGCATGTGGTTCCATCTAAAGATATACCCCGTAGCTGTTTGATATTCAATTTTGCATGATTCAGAGCTCTCAAAATCTACTCAACCCAAGACTTGGCGTCTCCTTCGCCGTAGTAATTACCAATTTTTATTTTAACTTCCGTGGTTGTATAATAATCAAAACAAAATCTTGCATACAACGAATAGTGGGTTTCGCCGTTATACGTTTGAGAGTCTGCTATTAATTTATAAACAGTTTTCATTTTACCATAATTTTCAAGGCGTTTTTGGTCAAGTTTGTGTATTAGTTTCATTTTTCTTTCGATTGTTTTCGCGCAAATATTTAATTCCAGTGAAGTTCCAAAAGTAATTATATTTATTACATCCAAAATTCTTTCGATTTCTTTTAAACTAAAGTCTTCTACGGCAAATATTATTGTCAACAATATCACCAAATACTTTTTCTTTTCGGTAGTTTGAGTCTGTGAATCATTGCCAACCTTCTTTGATACTTCATCATCAAGTGATTTGGATATTATTTCAACCATGTTGTTTTCCATATTTTTAGTGTTTTCCATTATTTCAATTAAAAAGACATTCTCTCCAAATTTTCATTTTCATTTCTAAGTTTCAGTTCGCTGGAAATTTTTCTTTCGTCATCACTATCAATATCATCCTTCCATTGATCACAATCATTTGTCATTGTCTCAATTTCCATCTTTTTATTTTCTGTGTTTGGTTGAGTAATAGTATCGGAAATACTCATCCAAATATTATGAACTCGTAATATAATATCACGAACTCTCGTGTCGTTCTCTTCATTGGTGTCACTGCATTCGCTATCTTCGTATTCAGTCGCTTCTTCTTCTCCACCACTTTTATCATCATCCAAGATGTGAACTATTTGTGTATCGTTTCCAAATACATAATCAAAGTGTTGTAACGATTGACCGATGGATTCTTGTTCTTGTTCTTGTTCTTGTTCTTGTTGTTGTTGTTGTTTGGTTGGTTGGTAATTTTTATCCGAATTTATACATGTTTCTGATAATAGTTCTTTTTTATTCGTTCCCACACTTGTTTCAATAATTGGAACTGTACGCTCATTCGTGTCTCCGATAATCATATGCGAACCTTTTAAATCGTGTTGTGTAAATTGTATTTGACGATCTTGACATCCAAAAACACATGTACTTTTACTATTTGGATTTATATTACAATCTTGAATGTTTTGAGGATACATTTGTTCTGTTTCTAAGATTGTTTGATGTGTATCATTTTCGATGTTTCTTTGATATTTCAAAGTCTCGTCTATTTCAACAAAAAGTTCAATTGATACATGCTTTAAAGCTTCATTTAATTCTTTAATTTTTGTTGATACATTCAAATCGTTTATTCCTGTACCAATAATTGCCTTGTTGACTCGTGCCATTTGATACTTACTTGCGTTTTGTACTGATTTATAATTTGATGATAATAAACATTTCAACGACAAGTAATTTAATACATTAAAGTGACAAATTGCTACATTAAATAGAGGTTTTTCCATTGTTGGCCATTTAAAAGTGTCATCAACAAACACGTCTTTATAATGTGTTTTTGGGGAACCACTGGGAAATCTGTTGCAAAAAACACAAAAATTCAAGTTTTTACAAAATCATCTGGTTCATCTTCAATAAATGGCATAAATACCAAAGTTTTAGCGAAAGAGATACATCTTCTTTTTATTCTCTTTTCGGGAGAAAGTCTTGATTTTGGCATTTTTGACATTTTGAGATTATTAAACTGTTTAAAATAATTACAAAAATGATGTTAAATCGTGTTTTATTTATTTTTGTGTTTTTTAACAAAAACAAAACACACATAACACTAGTTAATATATATTATCTAAAAACAATAAAAGTTATTTTCTAATCGCGTTTTAAATATGTTTAATATTTTATTTTATCCACATTTTTAATTAAATGTCTATATAATTATAATAATATAATTCCTATTTAAATGTTTTTGTAATTATTTTTGTAAACACTCATTTATCACTAAATTATTGCTTGAAAATGTCAATATTTAATTCTTAGAATTGGCACTTATGATTGAAATGTCGATATTAGTTCTAAGTTAACACAAGTCAAATAATATATTTGAAATTTTTACCGATTTTATTTTTGTTGTACAGCCATTATAAACAATATTTATCATAAAGTGTGTCACATCTAATTCTTGTGACGTGTTACTAACAAATACAGTTTGTTATCACATACCGAACACTCCTAATTATCATCAACACGTGTTACATGATTTGAGTCAAAGTTCAATATGTGACACATTGTAACGATACTACATTATTTGACAACTCACTTTATCACTCAATTTATAAACCATTGATAGTGTTGCACTTAATATTTACATATATATTACAAATATTACTTCGCATGTTGTTATTATTTTTATTCGCCATCAGTCCACAAGTTATTTCCCGCTATGCAGACATTCCACTTTTAATCAGCCACACGAAAACAACCAGAAAAGTTCATTTCCAATTAATTCTTTAAAAGTAACTGTGACTAATTTGATATTTATATCTTTTCAATATTGATAGAATAATATATGATTATTACAAACAATACTTCTATTATTTTTGTGTTCTCACACTACTACAAACAACTCGAAGTCACAACATCATAATTCTAACAGTCAACACAATTTAAAATTTTTTATAGCACTATTGAATGATTTGATGTTTATATATGCTTTAACAAACTTATTATGTTATTCTGAAAACAAATTGATTGTAATACACCATAACTAAACAGTACAACGTTTGTGTTGATTAAAACATAAA